GACGTCACATTTCCGCCTAAAAATGCCCGGATGTGGGGAATCCCCTTACAGGTGAGCAGAACAAAACTTTACTCAGACCTTAAAATGGCGTCACATGTTACCTAGCACCCAAGTTATATATACTCTCTCTTCGTCATTACAAGATGTTGTCCCAGGTATCTCAAGAAACCACAGAGTCTGACACATTTGATAAGAAAATATTTTCTATGTTACTAGCCCTTTTTCGAAGGTTTATACACCGTTATAAGGGTATTCACGTTCAAGTCAATCAAATGGCATTTTCTATTAGGTACAGCAAATACGATAACAAGAACGTTAGATGGTAGAGAGTACTTCAAACTGTTGCTCCAGGGAATGGATCTAAAACTTACTTAAACTGCAGGATTCGTTACCCTTGGCGACACACTAAGGTAAGTACTCCCCACTGTGCTTCTCCAGCAGCTTGAACAGTGAATTGACCCCAATAAATACATAAACTCATAAACATCCCAGACTGTCCCTGCCCCAGAAACAAAAGGCATGGGCAGATTAGCATAATACTGGTCACTTTTTTTTTAATTTTTCCTACACGGTTTTCAAAGTAACAATACTAAACCGTGCAAAATGATCGGGATAGTTGTAATTGAGTCACATTATCAAGAAAAGAGTACCTGCAACATTCAGTTTTTGGAATCCAACCCTGTGGTAAAATTTCAGTTTTTCAAACTGCCCTGTCAAAGTTGTATCAAAGTGTCTAATTGTAGATGTCTACATGTAAAATGTCAACCTTAGCTTTGATAATAAGTGTGTCTAGAAATATGGCTTGCGTGTTAATTTGGTAGTATGATAAAACAGTACATGTAGACTCAGGAGCTCTGTTAGAACTGTACAAGTAACTGCCGGCCAATCTCTATCACACTACCAGGCAAACCTTGGCAAGACAGTGTTGTCATTACAGTTTATATTCTTGGTTAGATGAGGCCAGCTTTTTTTTTATGTACAGCTGTACATAAATTCCTTATATGTTTCAAACCAAATCTAGTGTCTTGAAGAGTATTTAATAGTCACCGCCAGTCCTGTGCCCATGTTACCACCACGACAGTCAGGGATAGAATGAAGCCTGGTAGTTTACGTTAGCCGACTTTATTGGGTGCTTATATAGTACAAGCGTGGTCTTTAATCACTTACCTTTCTGATGTGAATTCTAATTATAAACAGCTGAAGTAAAAATTCTGGGGTCACTTTGACCCCACTGGAACAGGCATAAACTTTCTAGGATAACTCAATCAGCAATGTTCCAATGTCCGTAGAATGTATGAGACGTAATATAAGACATATATACACACAAACTCATAGAAGGAATTTCGTTTTTGACAATAAATGTCAAAATGGCACATATTTATATACGTCTGACCTCAGTTTTGCTCCCATACGGTGGTTCGAGGGCTTGAATAAAACAGATCTTGTGAACTGGCCAGTACATCCTGACCACACCAATCAGTTTATAAAAACAACAAATTACTTATTAAAGGAGTAGCTACGGCACAATTCAAGTATGATATTGATAAGTCAAGCCGATAAATATGTCTAAAAACACAGTCGATAAGGAAACCATTGTACCGCATAGAAAAGCTTAATATGTTGTGAAATATTGCATGTTGTCTCACTCGCGACATGGTCAGTTAAAATCTAACTTACAGAACAGAGTTGATTGAAGTACAGACCCATTTTACGAACTGTAAACCCCTTACAAGTATGATGTGCTGATAAAATTGAGAATGCCCGAGAAAAAACAGTCTTACCTGATGGGATTTTAGGCCAAGTTCTTCTGTGAACGTTGCTTGTGACGGTAGGTAGTCAGGCACACAACAGGACGCCTTCTTCAGACTGTCACGGCCACGACTGGACTACACGTACCCTAACTGACATCTGCCAACTCAGGTGTACTTGATAAACAAGGATCATGTTGTATTGGGGCCCCTTAATCGGTGAAAAAAGTCTCCGCGAAATCCACAAAACATGGCGTTAAAGTTAGAATGGCGTCATTGGAAAGTACCTGGTCAGTCACCCTGCACCGAGTAAATATCATAAACAATACAAGTGCCCCCCTCTCTCCCCAAATACACAGGCACGTACACACACACTTACAATCTCTCATACCAGCCAGTAGATCGGGGGGGGGGGGGGCATTATGGAAATGTAGTTAATATGTACTTAGTGGGTGCCATACTTTGTACCCTGTACAACTGTTGTGTAATAAAGTAATATACAAAAGGACGTGGATATTCTCGTAGATTATCCAAACTAAACGTACATGTAGCTATCATTTGCTACTTGTTATTTCTCAACCAGGACGGCGTTTTCTGCAACACAAATTAAATAACAAAATGTGTCAATTCGTCAGGAGGTTCTCATGAAACCAGAGACCACAGACAAGTAGCGACTGTCTTTTATACTTCGTCCTACCACAAATGTGATCGTTGCTTTTGGAGGGAGAACAGAAAAGTGTTTTGCTACCATTTTCTTCAATGAAGCCACCGTCAGAAATAATTCTAGTTCATCCATAAAATCACTTCACACACAGACACATGTAGATAGAAAAATATATTTTCTTTCATTTCTGTACAAAATATACACACAGATGTAATAAAGAAAATATATACACTTCAATCCAATACATCTTTAACTGCAATGTAGTTATGTACAGTTTATATACAACACATGTGATATATATTACAGTCTTTCAAGGAATGTAGTTGGTAGTTGACAGATTCACAATCTAAAGTATCTTTGCTATAATCACGAATAACGCCATGTTTTACATTTAACATCAGATCCATTGGATGAAACTATTACTTGACTAAAATGTAGTTATGTACAGTTATACAACATAAGTGTTTAACAATATATATTTACAGTCTCTTAACCCTAAACAGTACACCTGGGGTCCGCGCGGACCCCAGCACTATATATTCTGTAGTATCTTTTTTGTTTCTAAAGATTTTTTTCTGAAATTTTAGGTAATTGTCACCCACAAAGTTGTCTCTCAATACAGTACAGAAAACTCCGTTTCTACCATTTATAAAAAAATTATATCTGATTTTCTTTTGGGGTCCGCGCGGACCCCAGCCGGCTTTCGATCATAATGGATACACTGGCGTTCTTATACATTACCTTATTTCCGTTTTTATATGTTTTTATGCACTCATCTTATGTCTACCAAGTTTTCAGAGAACGGTGTAGTAATAGAATTAAATTTTAATAACTTTGGTGTAATTATGACGTCATATGACGTCAGAGCTAATAATATAGTCCGCCATATTGAATTTTGACCAATGACGTCATCAAATTAGCATATTCTATGCATATTAAATGATTTAACTTATATTTAATTATGTAAGATGTTATTAATGTTGGAAAAGAAGTGTAATTTAATATAAAAGTCAGAAAATTTTTATGTTTAAACCAAAATTACTTCTATTTTGAAAAATAGAAACCCGTTGCCATGGCAACACAAAAAACATCAACTTACTAGTATCAAACTAATATGAACTTTTTTCCAGAGACATTTTAGGAAAGGTCTCCAAATTTGATACTTCTAGCGCAAGCCGTTTAGCCGCTATCTGAGATCAAAGTTGGGCCTCAAAAGCCCCTTCAGTCTGAAATGGGTTTAAAAATCGGGTATTTCTTCTTGTCTTCTTTTCTTCACCAAAAAATAGAAAAAGTTCAAAATGTATGATATTTGTTTGTAATGTGGACACAGAGGTTCCCACATCAGTTTGCAAAACAATTGAGCTGGTAGCATGTTGATAATTTCTAAAAATTAGCAAAAAACTGCTCTGGGGTCCGCGCGGACCCCAGGTGTACAGATTAATCAGTCCGGGAAGGTGTACTGTTGAGGGTTAAGGAATGCAGTTGGCATTGAAGTATCTAAATTTACCATACTCACGAATAACGCCATGTTTTACATTAACATTACATCCATTGGATGAAACTATTACTTAATAACCCGGATGGGAAAATGGAAAATATGTACAACTTGATAACCACAGACGGAAATGTCGGAAAACAACTCAACTAACTTTACTTTTTATGGTGATGATCATCATCTTAAACTTTTATACAGTTTATAGTTATACAGTAAAAGATACATACAAAAATACATGCCGTTACAGTACACCCTATGTACCTTTCACGTCTAACAGCGGCACCTTTTTGATAACCACAGATGACTGAAAACAACTCAACAAAGTTTTTATGGTGATGAGCATCATCTAAAAACATTTATGCAGTTTATAGTAGTTATACACTAAAAGATACAAACAAAAATGCATGCTGTTACGTAACCATTCTAGTTCTATGCACAATGCTTCACTGACGGTCTAACAGAGGGGCACCTTTTTCAGTACTCTACCAACGTTGCAACGTTAACGTTACAAAAATACTGTGCATTCAACTAACATCACACGAATGTTGTAATTATTTGGAGCCTGTCACCAATGGACATGGAGCTAAGATTAACTAGGCCAGGAATGGAGAGGGGAAAGCTAACAGATTGGACCCTGGAGTTAATATGAAAATACACTGAATTTGAAATGAACAAATGTAGCACTCTTATAAACTAACAGACGTGCTTTGTTTCCAAACTAACATCACGAAAAAACTGAAATGTACACGGAGTTTGTCATTAATCATATAATGGATCCAACAGTAACCTCTTGATACTAATGACAGGAACGAATGAAGAATGAAGAAACGAATCGCCATTGGTGTTTAACACATGGCATTTAAAAAATCTACAGTACCCAACTACCTTTAAAATGGCATTTTCAAGGGCTTTTTGACTCCCGAAGGGACAACCATTGTAGGAGGGGGAATTCTACGACTTGAAGCCAATCCTCCAAGCACCTGTTCTACGAGACTGACCAAATAAAACAGATGGGTTGTTTCATCATGGGGAGGTACTAGTACTAGTAGTACTCTATGAAAATAAATCACGAACAAAGAGGAGAAAAGACAACTCAGGGTGATGCTAGCTGTGTATTATTTGACCTGGGACCTTCATGACTAATCACATGACTAATCACAACATTCAGTTGCCTGACCTTCACTTTTATCAAATATGTCCAACTCCCCAACCTCTCCAACTGCTGTTCCTCCCTCCGTGCACCCTCCCCACCTGCCAGTGCAGCCTCGCTCACATCAGCCTGGCTGCCGTCATACAGGAGGTGATCCTTCCACCTGTAAGCCTTGCCCTTCATGGTTCTCACAAAGTCCCGGACCCCTTCAGCACTGAACATGTTATAACCCAGATCGACGTCCTCCACAGCTGTGCTAAGCTTCAGCCATGCAGCTATGGCGGGGAGGGACTCGTCACTGATGGAGTTGTAATACAAATGTACATGTCTCAGGAAGGGAAGGTTGATAAAAGGTTTCATCAGTTCTCCAACATTAGAAAACTTGTTAAAACCAAGATTTACCTTCTTCAGTTTCTGACATGAACTAAGACCTTTAGCAAGACCAGGCACTGCCTCATCACTAATGACATTGTGACTGAGATCTATCTCCTCCAAGTTGGGGAGGGGAGGTAAGAAGTCTCCCCTGTCAGACAACTTGTTACGGCTAAGGTCCACCTTCTTCAGGTTCTGACATGAACCAATACATTTAGTAAGACCAGGCACTGCCTCATCACTAATGTTATTGTTACTGAGATCTATCTCCTCCAAGTTGGGAAGGGGAGGTAAGAAGTCTCCCCTGTCAGACAACTTGTTATAGCTAAGATTCACCTTCTTCAGGTTCTGACATGGACCAAGACCTTCAGCAAGACCAGGCACGGCCTCATCACTAATGACATTGTGACTGAGATCTATCTCCTCCAAGTTAGGGAGGGGAGGTAAGAAGTCTCCCCTGTCAGACAACTTGTTCTTTCTAAGGTCCACTTTCTTCAAATTCTTACAGAAAGCAAGCCCGTCGGCAAGACCAGTCACTGCCTCATCACTAATGTCACTGTGACTGAGATCTATTTCTTCTAATAGAGGGAACTGTTTCAATATCAGTTTCAACAGTCTCGTCATCTTGTCCAATGACCAGTCCCTTGTCCTAAGCGTAAGAGTCTTCAATGGGTGTTGCACCCCATACAGCTGGTTGATGTGTTCAGCCTCCTCCTCCCCCTGACAGCTGACACAAAGTGCTAACTCCTGCAGGTTGGGCAGCTGAGGGAGGAACTGCAGTAGAAGTTGGACATCACTAGTGTGCAGTGGGGTAACATCGGACCAAAAATATTTTCCACATGTTAGATCAAGTTTTGTTACCTGGCTAGCATCCGTTAAGTTACACAGAAGAGACACAAGATCACCAGATATGTTTTCCCCATACTTCAACAGCAGCTGTTTGTATTGTCCCATTAGTAGCCACAACAGTACTCCCTTATTGGAAATTTTGTTATTATGAAGATGCACAGTCACCAAATTCTCACATGAAGCTAAACATTTAGCAAGACCAGGCACTGCCTCATCACTAATGGCATTGTGACTGAGATCTATCTCCTCCAAGTTAGGGAGGGGAGGTAGGAAGTCTCCCCTGTCAGACAACTTGTTATGACTAAGGTTCACCTTCCTCAGGTTCTGACAGGAACAAAGACCTTCAATAAGACCAGGCACTGCCTTATCACTAATGTTATTGTGACTGAGATCTATCTCCTCCAAGTTGGGCAGCTGAGGGAGGAATTGAAGTAAAAGAATAATTACTTTGAGCGGTTGCGACGAAAAATGCAGTTTTGCTGCGTGTATAGCACCCGTTCTGCTTGAGAGTAGAGACACAAGCTCGTCACTGATTTTGTTTCTAGCAGTCTTCACCTGCATATGTTTGCATTGATCTTGTAGCAGCAACAGCAGTGCCCCCTTATTGGAGATCTTGTTATTGGTGAGATTGACATGCTTTAGGCTCTGACAGGAACCGAGACCTTCAACAAGACCAGGCAATGCTTCATCACTAATGACATTGTAACTGAGATCTATCTCCTCCAAGTTGGGGAGAAGAGGCAAGAGGTCTCCCCTGCCAGACAACTTGTTATAACTAAGGTTCACCTTCTTCAGGTTCTGACATGGACCAAGACCTTCAGCAAGACCAGGCACTGCCTCGTCACCAATGTTATTGTAACTCAGATCTATTTCTCTCAAGGTTCGGAAATTCTGCAATTTTCCGACAAGAGCGTTGATATCCTGACTTGTCAGGTTGCAGTTGGTGCAACTCAGTAGCTCAAGCGGAGGAAACTTTCCAGCCTCTGTACTCTCAGGGGGTAGAGATGCCAGGCCTTGAAATAATATTGACCAAGTAGAGGTGTCGGCATGTACAAAATCAAATTTCAAAGCAACTAGGGATTTCATACTTTGAAAATAGGGCACAAGCTTTTCGATACTATGTAAATATATTCGTGTGGCTGATGTTTTCAAATTGGTATGCCTTCCTTCAAGAGTTAACCTTTGGATATCAGACGGTTGGAAGGACAGAACCCCGGGCCAGACCTGACTACCAGTTTTGCATTGTAGAGTAAATGTTGCAAACCTCATTTTCAATAAACACTCTGCTACAGACCAGTACTCTGTAAATTCTACATTTTCTAGTTTGTGAAGGCACCTTAAAACATTCATCGCCTTGTTAAGATCCTCACTGCTTGCGCGTCTCACTGCGATGGCCACCGTGGTGACATTAGGCGTGAATAACAGTGATTTTGCCAGGTTACCGAGGGAACCCTGCAAGAATGATCCTGACCTAACTGTGATGGTTTGTAAGGAATGAGAAAATTGTAAATATATGCAAATGGTATCAACATCGATATTTTTGTCTGATTTAGCAAACCTGCATTTTGTGGTCAAACTAAGTATGTCTCTAGTACTTGGCATACACTCAAAAAGAGCCGTGTAACTGAGATATTTGACTTGATTGGCATGGTCAACGTTAGATACAGGTTTTTGTTGAAAGGGATATTGTTTCAGTACACTTTTAATACTTCTATTTTTTGGAAGCTTTATTGTTTGAATTAACTTTGTACTTTTGATGAGTTGTGTCATACAGTGGAGGTCATGAAGGGAGATTTCAGGGAGAGCAGACAAGTCCAGAGTTTTGTCAGGAAATAGACTCTCAATGAAAGGTGACAGAGCATCTAGTTGGTTTGTTTCTGCTGTCGTTGTCACGACTGAGAGTAGGTGGTTAAAATCGTTAGACCCTCCCTGTTTTTGCATGAGCAATGTTACAAACTGTTGCAGGTGTGTTGGAGAATCTGTCATGCTCAGGAGGTGAGCAAGACTGCAACAGGTGATGGGCAGGTGGTCTGACTTCTCAGCACAAACTCTCAAGAGGTCTGTACAGTCAGTCCGGGTTCTGACTGTGTGTGCTACCCACACTGCCATGAGAAACTGCCGTATGCTGTCATGTACAAACTGGAAGACATCTTTTGCGTCATTAGACTCAACTTCCTTTAACCAACCAATGCTTGTCTCTAGAATGTCAGAGTCCAACTGGTCTTTGGAAATATACACCGAATTGCTGTTTGTGTGACTTTCAAACGCAGCTTTACCCACCATTAGACAGATGTTTTCATACACGGACTTCCAATGTTCATCGCTGATGTCATTCTCAAAACAGAACTGCTTTAAAGACACCTTCGTAACAAACTTGACAAAAGTTGCTAATGAAATAGGAAAGGTTTGGTACTGTTTCCAGTATTGACACAAGTAAGAGTGGAAAAACCTGTCCCTGATGAGGTGCTTAACCAGTAAGTTACTTGGCCAGCTCTTCTGGATAGACCTTGCCGTGTCTTCATCAGTCTTGAAGAAGTCTTGGATGTAGTCATTCCAGGCCAAGGCGTCTTCTCCTGTTGGATATATGGGAGGGCTGACTGTACTGTTCTGGGATTCTGAAGAAGAAAGAGGTGTCAATCTTACGGCACAATCTTTAAAGTGTCAAATATAAGGAATTATAGACCTTTCACCACAGCCATGGCATATACAACTAGAGTTCCACGATCTCATACCTTCGCCAAATGATGTTAGCCTTTATGACTAAGAAATTATGGATTAATCCCCCTGATTGTGCAAATAGGATCCTATATTGCATCAATTATATCTGTTGATCATATTCTACACCAGAAGACAGTCTTATCTTATCAAAGAATGCCATTATAGCGTTTCCTCATAAATTATGCAAATGAGGTCCTCATTTGAATAAGTGATGTTTAATTATGTTCACCTTCACATAACTTTCAGATATCCCAAGTATGAAATTCCAGGCAGTTACCACTATGTTATTATAATATTTTCTAATTAATTATGCAAATTATGTCTTCATTTGCATAATCGATATCTGCCTGTATTTCTGCCGTTCTTAATTACATATATCACAAGCTTGAATAGTCCTATCATGGAATGCAGCTGATTTATAGAATTTCCTCATTAATTATGCAAATTACATTAATATTTGCATAATTGTAATATTACTATCAAGCATCACTTCAGCTACCTACATGCCAAAAATCACGACGATCCATCAATCGGTTCTTGAATTATCCGCCTTTAAACATTTTCAACTAATCCGAACTGCAGTTCTAGAGCAAGCCGCTAGGGAGTTCAAACTCACATTACTTCTTCCCCAGCACAAGAGCTATCTACCATCTAAATTTCATCACCCTAGCATGTCCAGATCACGAGATATCAAAACCGGAAGTTCAGCTGCAGTACCATAACAAGCCGCTAGGGGGCCCAAAATCTAATCAGTTTCACGTCTCATGAAGACCTACCCACTTACCAAATATCAAGACAATCCATCATAGCCTTCTTGAGTTATCGTGCTGACACACACACACACACACACAGACACACGAACGCCAACGAAAACATAACCTTCTTGGCGAAGGTAATGATGAAAACTGGGTTAATGTTTGAATAGAAGTGTATGTATATAGGACAATAGAATTAGTAATATTTACCAGAATCTAGAGATGTGCTTCGATCTTCCTCAGATACGCTACTTGCCTCCATGTTGCTACCACCTGTTTCTGATTCACTATCAGAGACATCTGGTATCCTTTCCCCACCTACAATGTAGGGTCAAGAATGAAATAATGCAGTTGCTGTGGTTGCAAATAGAATGCTAAGTAACATTTGTCCAGCACTCAACATTCAAAAATATTTTTTTTATCAAACTCCCAGCCTTGCGAGGTAGAACTGGGACTGCTAACCACTGCACCTCCACACTTACCCTCAGGCCCGGCGGTATCCATGTCTCCATCTGGCTTCCCTTTTGCAGCTTCAGATTCCACTTCTGTCAGGAAAATTTGACCAGAAGCTGCTGCATCTGCATAAAAAGCAAGAGTAGGATTGAGTCAGAACATGATGCGACTTCAATGTAAGAAAACAAGTGCTGATATTACGAAGCGGGCAGCACTTGTTTTACAGATTTACAGATTTATCATGATTTATCTTGATGTTATCCATGTATGCAAATGAACTTGCTCTCTCGATAAAAATATCAAGTTACATGCTGTAATAATATGGACAAGAAGAAGCTGTGACTACCTGCAACCTCATGTATCCCAGCATCCCTCAGGGCCTGCACCAACTGTTCCAGAGTGACGTCACCTAAGTTCCTCTCCATCCAATTACAGATCAGCTGGCGAGGACGGAGGGAGGGGGGCTGTGTGGCTGTCAGGTCCCGGATGTAGTCAGTGGTGAAGCCGAGAGATAAAGCCAGCCGCTCCCACATGGAACCCAGACTGTCAGCAACTGCGGCTAGCTGTCTGTCTAGTTCTGTAGATTATATAAGACACATAAGGATGACCATTTAATGATATGGAGAGCTTATGAGATACCTGATCTACATCACATGATATTAAATTTTAGACACCTAGAATACTGTTTTGCAGAAGGAAGGTAAAATAAAGATGGGTTTTAGCGGTTAGTTATTAAAAACACACCTAAGTACCAGCCATCAGTTAAAACATAATGAAATCGTGCACCTGTTTCTTCTCTCTTGAGAAATGGACCCGCCAGCTCACCCTTCATCTCTGGATGGAGAAGAAAAAACGAAACGTTATTATGACACACACACACACACACACACATACAAACTAACATAAAAACACACGTTACCGTATGCTGTTCCGAAAACTCAGCAACGGAGCCTTACTTTCCATCTAGGATTGTGTAAGACCGGTATAGATGGTCATTTGATGATATATAGGAAAGATGAAAGCAGGACAAAGACTTTGATAAGAGTATTTTAGCGATAATCTATTTGAACAGAATCATGTACCTGTTTCTTCTCTCTTGAGAAGTGGACCCGCCAGTTCACCCTTTATCTCTGGATGGAGAAAAAGAAAACCGAAAAGTTATTGTTATACTCAGTATCTATTAAACACTAACTAAAATCAAACACACGTTAACGTATGCTTCTTTCAAAACCCTGCATAGGTTAGGCCATTATCACAGTTGCCTTCAAAACTCTGATGAGCTGATGATATAGGGTTTTACCTGATTTCACATTTCCCATCATGCAGCACGACGGCACCTGTTCAACTGGCTCCCGCTTCACCTGGATGACGTCACCACCACCTGACACCTGCAGCCCACCTGGTCCATCACCATGGTAACCAGGAGGCATGTCATCACCATGGTTACCGCTGCCTGGTGCAGGAGGACCCTGTCCTGTATGTTCCCCAGATGGACCAGGATGTGGGGGGCCTCGGCCTGCTGTGCCACTTGGGTCTGGGGAGGAAGACAATTACAAAACATGTGTCTGACTGTTTTACGTACATGTAAAGCAAACATATAAAATATTAAATTTGCAGGATTAACGTCAATAGTTGTCCCAAAGACTTTAATAAAGATTACACTATGTGAAAACGTATTTCCTTTCAGATTGGACATCAACTGCCATATCAAAAGGACAGTCAAGAAAGTTGATGACATACCCTGGTCTGAGAAGTCTCCCTCCTCTGTAGCAGAGTGCAGGACTCGGACATGTATGTACAAGTCTGCTCCTCCCTCTGCTGCCCTCATGTCGTCTGTGATCAGTTCTCGGGTCAGGGTGTCGGACAGGCTCCCGTCACTGTAGCTGCGCCAAAACGTGTCGAAACAGCCGACATCAGCGAAGTCAAGATAACAAAATACACATCCTCGTTCTGCTTTTCTGAGTGCAGCTTGAAATTGTTCAAAGCACTGCGCCATTTTGTGATATAGTTGTCTGTTTTCTGGATCAAGTACTCTGTCTCTGAAAATTACCTGGGCCACTTCTGCAATCTTATCATTGACTCTTTTCCTTATCTTTAGTTTTGCCCCAGACGTAAGCTTTGGTTTGTTATCATCATCATCATCATCATTATCAGGCACAGCTGATGCAATTCGTCGGAGGGATTTTACACATTTTTTAAACTTATGATAATCCTGAACAGTTTCGTTGTCAAAAACTTTTTCACCATTTTCCACAATTGTGTGATAAATGGTGCTTTTATCATCAGCTGAACCAGTCCTGTCAGCTTCATCTGTAAAACAAACAAGACAGTTTGTGTTATATGAAGAACAATATAACCGATCGCGACATCGCTCTACCTTTAGCCTTGTTTTTCTTAGATGCCAATTTTGCAAGTACAATTTTTGGGACATGTGCATTTTCAAATTTAATTACACACAGTGAATAAAAGACATTGGGTATGGTTTGAATGCTGCAATTGTAATTCGTTTAGTACGTCAGATTGCAACCTTTATGTACAATTCTAACAAATAGCCAATGTTTAGGAAAAGTGTGACTAACTACTTTTACATCCTAATGAGTGAGGTACCTTTAATAGACTCAGGCATCTCCCCTGCCTCAGGGTCAACCTTTGTCCTTTTTTTCTGTCTTGCGGCTCTACTCTGAAGTTTTCTCCTTTTCCTGCTGCTCTTCCCATTCTGCTGTTTTCCTTCCAGTTTGACATTTAATGGTTGCATGAGGGGAGGACCTGCATAAAATAACATTGGATACATATCGTCATGGTTACTTAGCATAGAGACACATGCAATTATGTACAGATCCAACGAGAATCATCATAGCAACTGCCACATCAGTTCTTGTCTAGCCAACTAGGGATTAATATCATGATATTTTATATAGTATAAAAATATTAGTCACCTAAATCTTCATGTCAGCAGATGAAGAATGAAATAATAAATAGCTAAATATCGTTTTGTAATAATTTGTAACAAACCTTCATCAGACTCTGATTCCCCTCCACTAGTTGAACTTGAACTAGTTGAACTTGAACAAGTTGAACTTGAACTAGTGGAACTTGACGATTCATGTTGTTGACTTGACCGTGAGCTTGTGGAGTTTGTCTCATGACCATGTTCTGTCCCGTTGAGATGTCGTGTTCCGTTACTGCTTGTTCCCGCTCTCTGGTCCACTCTGTTCCGTCCGTTGGTACCATTTGATTCTGTGGGTATAAATTTAGACAATCTTTAGGGTAAATCTTTTTGTCCATCCTTGTTGTTACATCTTAAAAGAAACACAGCGTCACAGTCAAGTCTAAGGCATTATCTTACTAATGCCCAGCACCTTAAAGGTGTATCAAAAGTGTGTTAGTTAGCAGATGTACTTACCAGCACATGCACCATGGTAAGAATGTTTTGATTCCTGTTTTATCTGAAGTGAACAGCCACAGGAATCCCGGGTCTTCCTCTTTTTACGACTGGGCTCTAGAACAAAAACAAAAAAACAACAACAAATAAGCATCTATTTTTCATAAAAAATACAACAAGTGACGGTTATATATCAAACTGTGCCCCTGGTTTGATGTTAAAAATTATTCACAAATTCCTGATTTATCAATGGTCTGCAGCACTGATATATAGTGTCATGTTGTATAAAAGTCCTGTAAAAGTGAGGCTGTGCAGGGACCAACATGATAGATGCCTCTTACCTGTCCACTGTTTGTGGTTAGGAATGTGTGCAGGCTTCTTTGTGATGAATCCATTTACTTTGACTTCGTGACCATTGTCAAGTTCATCTGTTGGCAAAAAAAAGAAGAAAGATGCATGAATTTTTATATTTTTGACTGACGAAGACATGAAATAGAATTAATGCTGGGCTTTTCCATTTGTAGCAGCGTACAAAGCTACATGGATGATACTCAGAGGCTCTTTCCATATAAATTTACACGCTTGAGTTCTACAGCAATTTTGTTATCGTAAACATCACCAGCCCAATACTGCCAATAAAAGTACCAGCCCACCTGCAGCACGTAGGAACCCTCCCTTCCTGAGAGCTTCTGCCAGCTTCACCCTACAGGCCTTCCTGCCATGCCTGTCCCTCCACAGCTCCAGGGCCTGTAACGCCTGCTGCTGTTTGCTGTAAGGCTGCCTCAGTTGGATGTTGTAGATGTCTAGTGCAGTCAGGCCCAGCTGATCTTCTGCAAACTTCACCCAGGAGGACCCAACAGCTTTGGCTACAGGTGGGAAATAGTTGTGTCTGGGGGAAGGTCCTGGAAAAGTACGAATCCGCAACATTCAATTCATGTTAAACATAGATGCATTTCAAGAGTTACAGAGTTTACATCGATGCTTTTTATTGCCCGGAAAGAAAAGAGACAAAATTTTAGAATGTCAAACTTACCATTATGCGGATCATTCTCCATCAAAGATGACTCTTCTGATGAATCTTCTTTGTGGGGCTGTTTTCTTTTTCTTTTCCTCTTCCTTTTCCATCTTGTTTTCTTGCCTAAGAGATAGGACAAAACCAATGCATTTAATTAAGGGTTAATGACCAGCCCTGAGATGAATATGGTGTAATAAAGCCTTGTCAGTTGCTATAACCACCGAATAAAGCCACCGAGTGAGCGCAGCGCAACTCACAGGGACATCGGAATAGGGTCATGTTCTATTTGGGTCATCGGCACAGAACCGTGTTTCTTATGGAAGTCTTCCGACGTCATTGGAACATAATTAGTTATTTTTGGATTTTTTGGAACAGAGTCATGTTCTATTTGGGTCACCCGAGGTCAATTGCAGGTGATTATTGGGTTGTTTAATGTATGGATTGGGATGAATAATGACCTGTTTGTGACATTACGCCATCATAAGCCATGTGGAATGGAGCCTTCTCGATTGGTCAACGTCACCCGGCTATCTGATACTAGTAATAGTAAATATTGTCTGTTTGAACAGATTCTGCCAATAACTTCAGAAAATGACTTATTTACATTCCTGTTCTTGCTTTCTTAGTTACTAGCTGAAGGTGTGGGGGTAAGAGCTGCATGTATGGACATGTAATGTTTTTGACAATATGATTTTATCATAATTAGAAATGGGAGACGCACCAACTAATCTCTCTGCTGTCAGCCTTTCATCAATGTTCTCGAGGGCCTGTTCCAGAACCTGTAGAGTAGCTTTCTTTCCGTTCTTGTTTCTCCACCTTTCCAGCACTTCTCTGCACCTGTCGTCAGGACTGCGTTCTGTGGTTCCGATGCCTTTGATCTCATTCCGGTCAAATCCCAGTTTCCGGGCCAGGTCGTCCCACTTGTGACTGACGCCTTTGATGACTTTGTCAAAAACTTTCGGCACCTCAACTGGGGAAGAAACATGGATAAAAGACTTCATCTCATCACAAAACTGACAGGGTTGCTCATGAACTCAAATTAATTATTCTTTCCGTAACCGATATCTTAATAATCATCAATAGTTGGCAACTTGTCAAAAATAGCGCGGAATTTACAGTATTGCATAGCTGGTAGCTAGACATTGAACAGGCTTGGCACATAAAATGAGGCATTTTTTAGCATCAGAATGGTTGATTCTTACCCGGTAGACTGTCTTGTTGGTTCCCCGCCATTACTAGTATTTTGCTGATAGTGGCTCACATGTTACCTGTGCGATGCAGAAAGTAGATTGACTAAATGCACTTCTGTCACCCTTTATTGTACATCACAAATTAGATTATTTCTACCTGAATTGTAGATATTATATTATAATCATCATTAAGTATTAAATCATATTGTAACCTTTCCTCAATTAGATATAAGGCAGCGATATTTAAACTACAGAGAATGGAACCCAGACAATTTCATGTCTATATGATAAGTTATATTGTCAGCACATTCAGCTATAAACTTATCACTCGGACGTTTAAACTAACGCCCTACGTTCATCAACAAAGTAGATAAAACGCATTAAAACGTTAAACGTGTATAAAACGTGTTTATATACCTAACCCATAAACGCCAGTAAACTACGCCGTTACAAACGCCACACAAACCAGCGTCTTTTTATATCATAATGACAACCCGGAAGTGAGCCCCCCTCCCCACCTTCCATTTTTCCGTGCGCTATACTAGCTACCAGTACGCTTTTCTGTTATCTAAGCCGAATTACGAACTGTGCAGACATTTAAAGACCTCAAAAGTGTATAACTGTGTTTCTGGCACAATTTAAAAGTCTTACCTGTATAAAATGACATTCAAAATTATAGCCGTGGCGACTCTTGCCTCGGGAAGAAACGCGTGGAAAGGGCTAGAACCGAACATTTCACGTTGGCTGCCCGATGCTCCGTTTTCGCCCCGGTTTTTTGCTGCCTGGAGCTTCCCTGCAATTTTACCCCACAATTGGCCGGGTTGTCGATGTTCAGATCAGCCTAAATATTCCACAGCGCGACCGATTCTACTCAAATCGCTCTTTTTTTTTTTTCACTCCCGGGCGGCCATTTTGTTCATTAATGTCCGGTGCCGCCGTCGGGAAAGTTCGGTAACTTTCGGTAATGTTCGCTCGGGCTTCGGTAGGCGCCCCCAGGCGCCCCCTACCATGGCAGTACGTACTACAGTGAAACTACTAGTATATCAGCAGACAAAAAACGTGGTTTGATGGTTTTAACTCGTGTTAAATTCATGTTTTGATCTCTGTTTCTGTCGCAGTGTGCCGTTTAGGTCGCGATCTTAGTAAAGAGGATAATAAAGTATTCCTACAACCCAGAATTTGCTGTTTGTTCAAGATTTAAAGTAGGAAAATATTGCCAGTAACCTTGAACTTGCACAATCTATTCATTAATCAGTTTATATTGGAAACAGTGCCATTAACAAATGTCTGAATACACAGACTAGCAAGCACAGAGAAAGAGGGAGAGAGAGAGAGAGAGATAATGAGGAAGAGAGGGTAGGGAGGGGGAAGAGGGAGAGGAGAGAGGGAGGGAGAGAGAGGGAGGGAGAGA